CCGACGACTAAAGTACCTGCAACTGCTGACGATATTCATCAACAGCCACCTTAGAGGCAACAATGGACTCTTAATCCAAAGTTTTAGGAGGAGTATTCTTTGAAGATTATGAAGTTTCAACCATCTTCAAATACCTCCTCACCAACAATAAGATCAAGCTACCAGCGATTACAAATCAGTAAGAAGCAAACAAGATTTCAGATCCTAAGTATTGTGCATACCAATGAGGGTCCATCACCCTACCAAGACTTGTATTACGCTGAAAAATAGCATTCAAGCCTTGGTTAATGTCGGCATCATAACGCTGAAAGAAGTCGAATGAGAATGGCTACCTCCAACGGGTACATAAGGTTAAACTGATTTCCAAAACTCCCAGGAGTATACGAGTATAAACTGGTCCTCCCTGCTCTAATGCCTTAAGAGCCTAAACTGTATAGACTCTAGTTAACGTATGAGTATAAACTATGTTTACACCAATCAGCGCGCGATGAGAGTCAACGTCGATAAACGCATTATGATGACAGTCAATGTTGGTCAAAGCGTAGCCACAAGTTAACGTCGTTCAACACGTTATGACGAAGGTCAACGCCGGTCAACACGTTATGATGAAGATCAACGCTGGTCAAAGCATAGTCGTAAGTCAACATCGGTCAATACATTGCAATGAAGATCAACGTTGGTCAAAACATAGCCATCGGTCAACACTGGTTAATGTGTTACAATGAAGGTCAACGTCAATGCGTTGCAATGAAGAGTTAATGCGTTGGCAATTTTTAGCCAAAACAAGGCTCAAACCGATTCCAGAATAAAGGATGATCCTAAGGATTTCAACCGTATTTCAGATATGAATCCTCGACGAAGATAGTCAATTCAAGCATTGACTCAATGACACGAGCTAAAATTATAAATCAACACACCAGTTTCAACTCGAGACTTCGACAACGGTTAGATGATAAACGCAGCGCCGAAAGAATTTTAGCTATTCGATAAAATACTAAATAGATTGAAAATCATAGAAATTAAGAACCGAAGCCAATTGCAGGTCCTTTTACACTAACTGAATGTTGGGCCTATCACATCCAAAGTATTTCAGACTCTTCTATAAAAGAAATGAGACTGAAACACTTTGGAGGGGGTATCTGTAAGCGTTAAAAATTATCTATGGATTTCCGCACGTAGCTCAAGATGAAGAGAATATGATGAATATTATTATCTAAGTCAAGGAGGATTATCTAACACCGACAAGCGTATGAAGCGAGTCGACGAAGCTTACGAATCAACAGGACAGCAGAATAACAAAGAGACGATCTGATTAGGAGTTATATATCACTCACGAAAGGCAAAGCATCACTCGTGTCTCGTCTGCTCCACATATGATTCACCTATGGGAGCTTGTAGATCTCTTCTTTGACTTTCTGATGCATTTTAAATCGCGTCATTACAAGATCGGACGGGAAAATTACAGCGAAAATAGTCAAGACGCGTGAAACGGTGCCTCGTTTGAAAACCGAGACACAATAGGTGTCTCATCTTGCCGAGACACAAATTACAGCGAAAATAGTCAAGACGCGTGAAACGGTGCCTCGTTTGAAAACCGAGACACAATAGGTGTCTCATCTTGCCGAGACACAAATTGTGTCTCGACCAATCGAGACACTTTTGTCGAGACACAAAAAGTGTCTTAGGCCCCAAAAACGCTTTTTTGCTATTTTTCATCGTTTTTTCACCATTAATTGCCCAGATTTTGGTATATTCCGATCCAACAACTCCTCAACTAATTTGAACGTGATTTTAACTGAAGATAAGAGATTATCGGCCGTTCTTATCTAAAAATGAGCTTTTGAATCCTATAAATACAGCCTTACGGCCTTTATTCACATAGATCCGAAATTCTTGAATCTCGGTGAAGCCCTATCGAACTAAAGAGTGAGGAGCATAAATTTCAGAGAGGAGAAAGAGATCTCGGCGAGCTATTTAGCATTAAGAGAAAGAGTTCGTGAGATCTGCATCCGTTCATCCATTTCCTTGGGATCGTACCTAGATATGATTCTCGAGAAGAGGAGGTATCTCACCTTGCTGAGATATTTGTTTTAGTTTATTATCTCCTTTGTGAGGTAAAAAAAAACTTATATTTGGATCTGATTAGTCGGTAGTCCACAGATAAACCCCGGCACAATCCAAGATCTTACGCAATCAGCGGGTGATAAACATCTATTGCGTGTGTTTTAAGAAAGTTGTAATCTCTTGTTTTATTTGTGTAAGAAAGGTCTTATAAAAAGACTAACTTTTTTTTGAATTCATTATAACGACTGAAGTTGTAATGAGCTCCACGAATAAACCAACTTTCCATCTAAACAATTCTCTATGTCAGTCGACCAGGCAACTTTAATCGGTCAGCCGATTATCAACATCGGTCGACCGACCAGAATCAAAAACTCAGATCCTGTAAAAAGTTATTTTCGGTCTAAAATTCATCTAAAAATCAAAACTCTTCAAAAACTCATACATAAAACCTAATTTAACATGATTAGGGTTTATACTTCTACAAGAAAACACAGATTTAAATATTTGATGAAATTTGCTAACCCTAACACACACACAAGCACCTCCGTCGGTCGACTGATTCTCTATGTCAGTCAACCGGCCAGCTTCAATCAGTCGATCGGTTATCAACATGGGTCGACCGATTATCAACATCGGTCGACCGACCAGAACCAAAAACTCAGACCTTGTAAAAAGTTATTTTCGGTCTAAAATTCATCCAAAATCGAAACTCTTCAAAAACTTATACATAAAACTTGATTTAACATGATTAGGGTTTATACTTCTACAAGAAAACATAGATTTAAATATTTGATGAAATTTGCTAACCCTGACATAGTTATATGTGTAAATCATCATGAAAACGATTATCTTTAACAAATCTCACATTAGATTAACTTCAAAACTTAAACCCAAAACATAGAATATGTTCTATAACTGTTTAAAGCAAAAAGATTAGATCTTTTATATTATACAAATCAAAGATATAATTTTCACTTGAAAAATAGATTTTAGAAAAACCAGATAAAACTAATTAAAATCAAATAAAAACGGGGATGAGTTTGGAGGAGATGAAACTCGCCTCAAGACGTGCTGACTTCCCCAATGGTGCCAGAAACCTGATCCTCCTTCGTCAAAAGCCTCGGATATCATTCTCCTCTTGATTTTGCTTCTCAAAGCTCTTCAAAATTCACAAAAATAACTCTAGGGTTTTTGAGGGAGAGGGTTGGCTGATAGTTCACGTGAAAGCTTAAGAAATAAGGGGGAAAACGGGTATATATACTTATATACACAAATAAACCCGAATCGAAACAAATCCTGACCCGACCTAGAAATCGATTTGTGCACCCGTCAGTCGACCGATGGCTTTCCATCAGTCGACTGATAAGTGCCTATCGGTCGACCGATGACACTCCTTCAGTCGACTGACCAGCTTATATGTTCTGCCGACTGTTTCGCTTATGCATGCATGTTTTGCCCTCGTATTTACTCATATACGTACATAATCGATCTCAAATCGATTTCTAACATACTCATTCATGTCAGAAAAGTACCAAACATGATAAAAATTATTTATCACTATTTATCACAATGTTTTTAAATTTATGGGGTTTTACAAAGTTGCTTATTTTTGAGTGAGGAATCTTCTACGCATTTGAGTCAATGTGGAGATTTGTTAAAGGTTGCCTCAAATACTCAAATCCATATTGCTTTGGGAGTTCCTTTTTTAGCTTGGTTTGTTTTGATCAAGAGTTCTACTTACATTAGACTTTGCACAACCAATCATATTAGAGGTTTATTTCTACTTGGACTCTTGTTGGGTTTTAGGACATGTGGAGTTCTATTCCTATTAGAACTCTTATTCCTTAGATAGCAATGCGCTGTGTCTGTGATCTTCAAGTCTATATAAGAACAGTCTTTCTAGCCAATTACAAGCATCAATATTCAGAGCATCAATCAAGAAGAGATGGTTCTTTTGTGAAGCATATTTGATATTCTTCTCTTTTATTCGTTTAGTTGAGAGTTGTATTAGGCTTTTAGGGTGTTATTTGGGATTGAGGGATTTCACTTTGTATTCCTCACAATTAATAAAGCTAACCACATATATCTTTGTGTTTGTGTGTTCTTGATATTTTTCGTGCTCTCGTGTGGTTGATATTAGCTTATCCTAGGGAGTTTATCATAACAACTTCTTTCTCTACTCTAGAGCAAGGAAATTTTAGGGAAGAAATATTTGATAAATCTTTTGCTCATCTCAACAAGATTCTCTTCCGACTAAAATAAATCGAAAATTTATCCTTAAATATCCTCCTGTTTCTTTCGAGTCAAATCTACCAACAAAGGATCCCAGGTAGAAATATCACTGAAAAACCCATTAATTTTGAGGGAAACTTGAATATTGATCAAATACACAATTGACGAGGGATAAGAGACGTGTGATTCATTCATATCCATCTCGTTGGGAGGAATTGCTGATGCTCATCCAAGAGAGAAACTTCACATGAGATTGAGGTGATAGCAAAGTTGCTAAGTTCAAGCTCTGTGCCCTCCCCTTGTTATTCTTTTTAACAAGATGTGACTTAACTTGTAGGTTGATATGGACTTAACATTGGCAAAAAAAAAATGTTCATAGGGGCACAAGAAAGAGGTTCTCCTACTTTCCATTGAATCCATATATGACACCAAAATGCAAGGAGAAAGAGTAGAAAAAAGAAAAGGCAAGGTCTCTAACCTAAATCCTAAGGATTAATTACAAGGGTCAAATAGCAATTACCATGATAATGTACGCCACAATAAAGGGTAAACCAAAAATACCCACTACACTAAAATCCCCTTTTCCCCTAAAAAGAGCACAAATGCAAAAGAAATGCTAATTCTCTCTTCCTCTCTCACTGGACCCCACCCAAGTGTCATTTTCTCACACATACTTCCTACAAAGAAGCAAGAACCAACTACTTTAACTTCATACCATTGACGCTCTCTTTTAGTTCTGGCCTTAGTTTTACCTCCCTCTCCCTCCCTCTTCTCTCCTCATACAACTACATAAAAAAAAGTAGAAGAAAACAAGAGCAAGAGAAATAAAGAGAGTTCAAATTAAGAAGAAAATCAAGAAGAAGGAAACCAATCAAAAGATGGAGCTCTTCCCAGCTCAACCAGACCTCTCTCTTCAAATCAGCCCCCCAAACAGCAGGAGCACGAGTGATGAGCCCATGGATTTAGGGTTTTGGAGCAACAAAAACCTCAGCAACAACGGCAGCAACAGTGCTAGCACTAGCACTGTAGATCTCTCCCTGGCAAACCCTAGCCCCCTCCACCCCCTCCAAAACCTCCAGCAGTACTACAAGCGGCACGATATCGGGCCGATGAGGCCCATTAGAGGGATCCCCATATATCATGGGCCTCCACCGCATCACCACCACCATCAAACTTCTTCATTTCCTTTCACTCAACAGTATCATCAGCCGCAGCATTACCATCAACAGTATCATCAGTGTGAGTCATTGGTCCAGAGATCAAGGTTCTTGACGAGGTTCCCGGCAAAGAGGAGCATGAGGGCGCCGAGGATGCGGTGGACTACTACTCTCCACGCTCGCTTTGTTCATGCTGTTGAGCTCTTGGGTGGCCATGAAAGTGAGTTTTCTTGTTTGAGGACCTTGTTCCAATTTTGCGGATTAATTAATTCTTCATTTTAATATTTCGGGGGTAAATTTACTTATTTATTTGTTTGTGGGTTTTAAGGGGCTACGCCTAAGTCAGTGCTTGAGCTCATGGATGTGAAGGATCTCACCTTGGCTCATGTGAAATCTCACTTACAGGTACGACTAATTTCAATTGAATTAGGTTCTATTTGAATTGCCATTTTTTTATTTCAAAAAAAAAAAAAGTGGCCTCTCTCTAAACTCTAGTACTTTTTCCTACTGCCCTAGAAATTTGATTGTTTCTTGTAGCAGCTTTACTTAAGAAGCAGAAAGCATGCTATTAAAGGAAAAAAGAGGGAAATAAGAAAACAATGAGAAATCATGCTTTAATAATGAAACACACACCAGTTCTCAAGAAAACAACAAATGAAGTACAATGTACCATCATTTCTCAATTATTTTTCTTTCTTGGAGCTACACACAACATAGCTGATATTATAATAAATGCATAAAGAAAATGTATAGTAAATGAGAGATGCTGTAGTCAAGTGGTCATTCAAAACCTAGATGCATGGAGCTTTGACTTCTATTTATAATATTTAATTTAGCAGAACATATTAAATCATCTTCACATCTTTCTTCAATAAATAAATTTTTAATGATATACAATTTTAATTTATAACATGGCTGGTCCTTTCATTTGTAAATTTACTACTATTTTCTTGTGTATACTGCATTATTTACTTTCTTATATCTGGTTGCAGATGTATAGAACTGTGAAAACCACTGATAGACCACCAAATTCTTCAGGTAATGTAGAAATACATTATTTTTGCCTAAATTTAAATCTTTAAGTTTTACTAGTTTAAAAGAAACATTGAATCTTAATAACAAGCTAAATAAACTACATTGCTTGTGATTTTAGACCAAAATGAACCTATAGAGATATCAGACGATAATTTGCATGACATCCGTGGACCAGAACCTATGCAAAATGGGAAACCATCAGGGCAAAGTGGCGATAATTATTACGGATTATGGAGCAATTCTTCAAGGTAAGAATTTTCATTTTTATTTTAGCAATTAAATTTTCTTGCCAATGTTCCAATAAACAATAATCAATCTCAAAGAATGAATAAGTTGTTTGATGAAATATAACCTTATTTCATCATCACAATGACCTTGTAAGGATCATGCATTTAGTACCTAAGATTTTGCTTGTGGAATATGATTTATATCTTATGAGGATCATGCATTTGATAGCGATAAATATGCTAATGTATCATGAACAAGTGAAGCACAACATATTTTGCTCCATCTTAATGGAGCCCAATTGTTCATTACGCAAATTTACTTGTCAATATGTGTCCTTTGTAAGGTGAACTGACGTTAGGTGTTTTTAGTCACTATAATTTTTCTTCTTTAAAAAGGAAACTATATATATATGTATACCAGTATTGTAATATGCAAAAGATATTTATAAAGAGATAATGATACTATGTTCGATAATCAAATGTTGTAGAATTCTCTGCAACTTAGTACAACTTTCTATGGTTAACTCATTTAGTATGCTTATAGTGGATTAATCTAATCATTCCCTTTCCAAAACATCGCTAGCTTTAAGATGTGTTCTTTCTTATTATAATAATGAGGTTTTTAATATGCTTCATTCTAATAGAGGCATCAATGAGCACTACAATCAACAACCAGTACAACCTTATCTTTTTTTCCTGAACAAAAGCAATTATAGTACAACCTATTAATATTGTTTCCTATATAAAACTAATTTCTCCTTCCTCAGATCTAAAAGAAAGAATAACATGTAACATCACTAAAAGATGGGGGCACTAGAGGGGTTAATCATAACAAGAAAAAGAACCATCCATTTCTCCACAAAAAGCTAAGGGAACGCACAAAAATCAAAATAAGGCGAGAGGATTGTTTATCATAGAAGTCATAAACTTATAAACTATATGAACAAATGTGCCTAGATCAATATTATTTCTGTCACTCATATGTGCACTTTAGGTTCATAAAGCGGCTCCCTTCATTCCCTGTTAATATTTTATATCTCCATGCAAGTGCTCACAAAAAGCAAAAGATCATAGCTTTGTTCCATCTGTTGAGGATCATGACGACAATCGAACCTCTCTCTCTCTCTCTCTCTCTCTCTCTCTCTCTCTCTCTCTTCCTTTTCTGATGGTGCAATGATCCCTTATGCTAGTTCAAAAAGACTAGAAGAGAACCTAACAATCTCCCACTTCAAGAAACACAAAACCTCCATTTACATAAAAATCCACATGAAAAGGGACGCTCCTCTTTACTTTGGGATTTTGTGGACACCAAAGGCTTTTGACAGTAAGGTCCCCATCCATTAAATTTGTAGCAAAAAGCTTAGGCTTTTGAAACTTCTCTGGGATTTCTCTCCTTAAGGTAAATGGACAATCACATGGGTGCTCTACTTTAATACCATGAGATATCTGATAAAGCTTAGCAAATTCTCAACAAGCTAATAGTGAAAGATAGCTTTCTTTGCTTTTCTTTCTTGTTGAATGGACTTCCACTGATGGTAATATTCCCTCCATGTTGTATTTCTGCAGCAAGGGAAACTGGTTTCATGACAAGACTATTGAATCCTCCCCCGGGAGCCTACCTACTTTTGAGGTAACTAAAGCTATTGCTCTCATTTTCATGGACTTCAACTAGATGATTCATTTTAAAAAACAAATGAAAAATTTTGAGGAAATATTTGGATAGTGTATTAGTGTGTTTAGATAGATCATGAAGTGATTTTGAGCATACATGTTCAGTGCATGTAGTTGTCCTAATGAGGTTAAAATTGAGAGAAATTCTCCCACTTACAACTTAAAACACGATAAACTGTGAGCGGTTTTCTTTGTCCACTGAACAAGTGGTTGTCCAGAAACAAAAAAATGAAAAGAATAGTAATGCATCAATCCAAACACTAGAAATACCCTAACTATGGCAATGGTTTGCAACAAAAACACTAACAACTTTTTCACTACAACCTAGAATAAGGTTTTAAAAAATTAATGTTACAATTTTACTGAAATATCACTATATAATCATTGATTATACATGTGTTTTTGCAGAACGGCATGCGATATTCTAAAAGTATGGAGCTGATATCTGATATGAACTCTTCATGCGTATCAGAGCCAAGTGCAAAGAAGCCCAATCTAGAGTTCACATTGGGGAGACCACATTGATCACATTTCAGTAGCAGCATCAAAAGCTCAGATCATAAAAGAATGATGGTGCACCCTTCAAAAGAGTAGAAAGCAGAAAAAAGAGAGAAAGACAAAGAGACCATAGGAGGCAAAAAGCTGAAAAAAGGAAAGATGGATAGCTGTGCAAAAGCTTGAGCTTACCAAACTTCAGAGAGAGAGAGAGAGCTTAAAGGCCATGTTCTACGTGTGTATATGAAACATGAGTCTTTTTTTTTAATGTCTTAAAGAACAAAAGGGTTAGGGCTCCTTCATTCTCTTGCATGTGCACGTGCTTCGCTTTGTAGTTTCCCAACAAAGGGAAAAAGAAATTAAAGGATGATAACTACTTAATTTAGTAGGTAATTACATATTATAGTTGGAATCAGAGCAGTGTCTTAGCTTTTACATTTTTAACGTTCTTTGTGCAAATCTTTTTCTCCTCTTTGTGCTAGCTGCGATTGTGTTCTTGGAACACTGGTGTTGCTAAATTCGCTTCATTTATTATTTGATTTCTTTCCCTGTCATGTAATTTAACTATCAGAAATTACCAATGAACCTAGTCTACGACATTAATAGTATATACCAAGATGATACTGACCCCAAGAATTCTAGATTTCATGTTTCTTTAAGCTATTCTAATGGATGTTCCTCTGGTGCACCATTATGCCATAAGCTATTGGATACTTTTTCCTTAACCCTGCCTCCACAATCAAGAATGCTAGTAGATACATTCATTGAGCAATTAAGTGGGAATGAGTGCACAATAAGCATATATATAGTAAGTGTTAGAATTTAAAAATATAATCCTCAACACTCACCATAACTTTGGAGTTTTGGTGTAATGCAGAGGCGTGGCTGACAATTTGGGGGCTCGTTTCTAAATTTCAATCGGAGCGTCTTAATCAATCTTCATAAGAAACTAATAATTTTTTTATACATAGTACTAACCATGAAAAGAAATTTTTATATCTAGAATTAAAATAAACATTAAGACATAACAATGGTTCTATGCAAAACATGTTATGTGCAAAATATTGATAGTAAAAAAAGATACACAAAATCAACATCTTACTAATAATCTTGCCATGTGCTGTTAGACCCTAGAGAGGGGGGTGATTAGGGTCTTATGCTAATCTAATCTGATTTTATACCAATTAAAACTAATTAACAAATTATTCTTGCAAGAGAGATATACAATATGTTACAAGCAAGAATAAGCAATATGAACAAATGTAAATATCCTAGCAATGAGATATACTATAAGATATATGTAAGAATATATAATTAACACAAGGGTAAACAATCTAAACTAAATAGTGGACAATATAATCAACAATCAATAAACAAAAGCGATATAAGATATGAACATAAAAATAAGTGTGCCAATGCAATCACAAACAAACGATATGATTACGGAGTTCGGTCCCCACGACCTACGTCTCCGCTCCTCACCTCGAGGAGATCTCTACTATCATAATCGGGTTTTCTACGTTTACCCGAATAATGTTTACACCACAGAATACGGTTTTCTAGTTTACCGAAAACTCTACAACTAACACACTTTTATAATCCCACTCTACACACTCTTAAGTATTGAACTAGACGTGTCTCCCTCAAGTGCTCGGATACAACCTCTCTCTAGGTTCGTCAGCCGACGCCACTCCTCTTGGGACGATCGACGCCACTCCTCTTGGTACGATCCCCGACTCTCGTCACACACTTCTCTCGGTGTACAAGTGTATTACAAAGTGAATCTCACAATAAGCACAATACAATAAATGATTGTTCTCTAATATGGATGAGAACACAATAAAAGGTCACACTCAATTGTTACAACTCTCACCAACCCAAATATACTATGTATGAAAATACAATAAGCTCAAGTGGGTTTGTGTAAACAATGAGTGAAATAAAATCTAAACTCAATATAAAAACTAGCTTTAAAGAATGATAATCAAACAAATACGCAAATATAAAGCTAGATAAGAGTTTAGAAATGCTTCTCTGAAAAACAAGATGGAGAGATGGATTAAGATGAAGCTCAATCAATGTAGATGATCTCCTCCACTTGTGTAAAACTATTTTCCAAACAAAAACTCTTTTAAACAAACACTAAAAAAACTTAAACCCTTATTAAACTATTGTTTAAAAACTTCTTGGATTACTTAAGAAAGATGAGCAAGGGGGTATATATAGCCTCCTAAAATCTCAGCCAAAACCCCAAAGGAAAAGACCAAAAAAACCCAAAAATCAAAAATCTGATTCTGTACCAAAACTAGCCGTTGGAGTGAACGGCGGGCGACCGCCACTTTCAAAGCTGAGAATTTTCTAAAGACTTTGGCGATCGACCGTGGCGGTCGACCGTGGTAAAATTCAAGCTAATGGTCGACTGTGGCGGTCGATCACGAAAGTTTCTGTTTGACTTCGTAGGTAAAAACTCAGGTGCGGTCGACCGTGGCGGTCGACCGCAAACTGATACATGAACAAAATAGTTTGAAAGTTGATTTTCTGATTTTAAAACCCTGTTTAAAAATATCAAATAAATTCAAAAAAATGTAAAACTTTGGAAAATAATTGTACACATGATAATACACATGCTACAAAAACTGGTTTTCAAAAAAGACTTCCCAAATGTAAAATATTATTATTTTGTAAGGAGGTCCAAAACATAGAAATATAAACATATGAATTTTGACATTTTTCCTAAACCATATTTTAAAACTTTACAAAATGATTTTATAGACTTGAAGAAAGATGTAAACTATTGTTATGAAGTCTATAAACAATGAATGTAGTATTTTATCAAAATACACATATAATGCACTAAAACATGATTTCATTGAACTAAATAAAATTGATATTGATGAAATCATATATATGCATATAAGTATGAAACAAAAATATGTTTTTTAATTATATTAAATTGTTTCATATTAAAACTTGAAAACTATCAAACCAAAATATATATGTATATATATATAACTATATATATACAAAACCAAAACGTGTATGTGTGTATATGATTTAGTTTAAGGTACTAACACACATAATATAAACTCCTAAACTAAATGTTACCCAAGATTGATCTTGATCTTCATTGTAGCTCAACTTGGTAAACTTGGATGGAGCTTGTAATTGAATCTTTAACTTGATAGCAAGGCTTCACTCCACTATTCCACCAACCTCTATTGGATATGATCGTGAATGCGCAATTCCATCCATCCTCTAACTTATTATTTGTCTACAATAAATAACAAAATACAAATACTAGATAAACAATATTAGATATAAATTATTTGTTAAATCATCATCAAAACAAGAAGGCCAACATGTGCGACATATCAAAAACTTCACTCGAAAACTTTTCTCCTTGCATTTTTTGTTGCAAAGTCATCAATCAAAGCTTCATAATCAATCTTGTCTAAAAATCCACTTTCACCTGAGAGCAAAGTCAGTCCGTTTAGCCTCTCCTGCGACATGGTTGATCTCAAGTATGATTTTAATATCTTTAACTTTGAGATGCTCCTTTCTGCCGATGCAACTGTGACGGGTATAGTCAACAAGATTTTATATGCAATACTAGCGGCTGGGAAACAATTCATCCTCTTCAAGAAATTCAATACGTCAATGACTTTCATATTTTCTGGTGGTAACATATTTTGTAAGATTAGCAACTCTACAAATAATTCATCTCCATCAACATCAGAACAACTTTCTTTCTTAAGACTGTTTGCAAGATTAGCACACCAAGCTTTTAAATCATCATTCTGATATGCATATAACTTTTCCGGTCTAAATAAAAACCCAAAAATATTCTCTTATGTTTGATATTGTTCAAATCTTCTCTCTAATGAACCAATAATTTGATCAACCAGTAATAGAAAATAATAAACTCTGAAATTTTCCTCACCCGACTGCTGAGTTAACTCTGATGACTGAGCTCCGACCTCATCAAAATATCTTTTTCTAAAGATTTGTCGCTTCTCAGGAAATACTGGATCAACTCCTAAATCAGCAGCAAGTGTTTTGGCAATAATCATGTTCTCTACAAACCTAGTTTCTCTATACTTTCTGAAAGAAACAATCAGGATATTTACTAATTCTATAGCAACATCAATTGGAATGTCTTTCTCTTGCAAACGCTTACTAACCTTGTTAACAATCACCAATATCTTATACCAAATAGTCATGCCTAATAAAAACACAAAATCCCCAAGCTCGTACTTTGCTAAAGATTTAGCTTCACTTCTTATTTTTGTGTCTTTGTCATTTTCTGCTAATTGAAGTAAAGCTTGTCTGATCTGTAGAGCTTGTGATTGAATTGCCTTAACACTTTCAACATGACTTTCCCAACGTGTGGTCGATAATGGCTTGAGAGTAACTCCTATAAGATTATCCATCAAAATCTTTCAACATTTTGTAGAATTTGTGAACAACGAATAAATTCATTGTACTACTCCAAAAAATACTAAGCTTTGACGTTACAATTTTCTATATCACAAAGGGTTAAGTTAAGGCTATGACAAGCATATGGAGTGTAAAATACTCTTGGATTAATATCCAGAAGTCTACTCTGTACACCTTGCTTATGCCCTTTCATATTTGATCCATTATCATATATGTAGACGTCAAAAATTGCCTATAGGTCCATACTGTAGGATCTGAAATAGATACACTAGAACACTAGAGGGGGGTGAATAGTGTTCTCTTAAAATTATTGCAAAGTAGATAATAAATTGCAAAGAAAGATGACAATCTCAGAAATTTGCAAACACAAACACAAGGATTTTATACTGGTTCCACCAAACCGGTGTACATCCAGTCCCCAAGCAAATCCCGCTTGAGAGTTTTCACTATGATTTTGAATAAACTTACAAAATCAAACGCAAACCTGACCAATTTGCAAGTCCCTGCAAATTGCAACACCAATTGACAAACTCCTTGCCAATTTGAACACCAATATCTAAGCCAAGAGATTAACCCTCTCACAACCGAGAGAAAACTTGTTGAAGTACGAACACAATGATCCTATAAGCCTTGATTGTGTAATGAAGTACAGCAGTGGCTTAGGATTCTTTTAATCTCTGTGAAATTGCCTAATTGATTTGTTTTTGATGAAAGTGTATAGGCAATTTCAGAAACTCTTCTTTTTCAGAAAATCAGAATGTTTTTCACTTGGAAAATTGCAAAAGAATCAAAGCTTATGGGTATGTATACATCTCCAATTTTTCTGAACAAATAACCTATATATAGCCCTTGAAAAGACAAGTTTTTAAAGTTTTAAAAACGTTTAAAAACGGCCAAAAACTGTCAGATATTCAAATTCTGAAAACTGAAAAATTGTCTCTTGTAGTCGACTACTGTAGTCATTAGTCGACTACACTG